AGATTTACATCAATAATCAAATAATAGTTCTTATTCTAATTGCCCCTGCTAAAAACTGTGTGCAGCTGGAAGCAAATCTCCCTCACATTTTAAATGTTTTTGTGTGTGTGTGTAGTTTTGGCAACAGATGTGCATGGATTCAGAAACTTGTGTCACGTAGTATAGCTTAATTTCTGTGTAAAGAGGTATGGAGTCAATCTTGTCTGAAAACTGGGCCCTCTGACACGAAATTGCTTTCACTGTCCATATAAGTGCCCAGAAAATTATTGCTTTTCTTTAGAGAGGAGACAATGGCACTCTGCACATACGTAAAGTCACATCTTCCTAAATAAGTACTGTATGATTGTGATGAAAACAGCAAAGATAAAAATTTCGGCCCTAGCAAGTGAAAATGTTACCAGATGCCATAAGGCAGGACTACAGTCTCAGCTGTTCAAAAGCCAGCAGTAAGTCTCTTTGAAGAAAGCAAGAATCATAAACTTAAATTAAAGGGTGAGGCTGCTCAATGGGAGGTAAATTGGTTGTTGCCTTAGAGATGTTGCGCTAGACTGACAGAAACCTTTTCAGTACATATTGAGCAATTCTGTTTAAAAACAAACTCACAGATAAAACAGAGACTTCTTTCTCAACTTCTCTCTGTCACCAGAGTCCACGGGGCTGTTTTGAACAATACCAATCTGGGCAACATATGGTGGGAGGTGTGAATGGGTTTCCATTTCTGCCTCTGCTGTTCATGTGAGGTTCAGCACAACCAATTGATGACCAAAGGCTCATAAAATTCACTATGCACAGGCCAAAATTGTTCTGTCACCTCCCAGCTAAAATCCAGGAATTTACCACGCAGTTTTCAGTGCGTCTGATTTTATGCGCACAAGGCATCATTTGGACATGCTGTTCCGTGTGTGTGCACATGCCCATAGGGATGACGTGCCGTGATTGGATAAGCCAGATCATTACGGTCTGAAATATCGCTTGGATATTGATTAAATAATGACAGCTGGGGCTATTGCCTGCTATGACGTAGGGCCACTTCCTTGTTTAGGAAAACAAAAAGGTTCAGAGAACGTGCTTTAACTAGGTCAGACAGTGTTCCATCAACTATTTAGAGGAGGATTCACAGCATCAAACATCTGCTCTTGTGTTTTACTCCTTTATATAAGTTCATAGAACTTCAATAAATAAATGCTTTTGTGGTGTAGTGGTTAAGAGCGGTAGTCTCGTAATCTGGGGAACCGGGTTCGCGTCTCCGCTCCTCCACATGCAGCTGCTGGGTGACCTTGGGCCAGTCACACTTCTTTGAAGTCTCTCAGCCTCACTCACCTCACAGAGTGTTTGTTGTGGGGGAGGAAGGGAAAGGAGAATGTTAGCTGCTTTGAGACTCCTGAAGGGGAGTGAAAGGCAGGATATCAAATCCAAACTCTTCTTCTTCTTCTACTTTACTTATTTTTACTTTACTTACTTTTACTTACTTTACTTTACTTATATTTCTGTTTAATTAACTCTGTCAAAATCCTCAAGCTGGAACCATAAGTGGTATGGGGGCTGTAGCATACCCTACAAGATTTCTCTGACAAAAATAGGGATGTCCTATCTAATAATAATAATAATAATAATAATAATAATATCCCACCTGACTGGATTGCCCTAGTCACTCTGAGCAGCTTACAATATATATAAAAACATAATGAAACATTAAACATTTTTTAAAAACTTCCCTATACAGGGCTGCCTTCAGATGTCTTCTAAATTTACTTATCTCATTGGCTTGGGAGTCACATAACTCCATACCCTCCAACATTTCTCCAGTGAAAATAGGTATGTTCTAAGGCAGGTATGGCCAAACTTGGTCCTTTTAGCTAGGGATGATGGGAGTTGTAGTCCCAAAACATCTGGAGGGCTGAGTTTGGCCATGCCTGTTCTAAGGAAAAACAGGACATTCCAAGATCAAATCAGAAACTGGGACATTTTATGTAAATCCAAGACTGTCCCTGGAAAACAGAGATACTTGGAGGATGTGATGATGTTGGACCCTACAAGTCAGAATGTTTACCCTCCAGTGCATTCAGGTTTGGGGGTGTCACTGTAGAGACAAGTTTCCTTCCCCTATTCTGTTCTCCCCATCTAAGCAAAGGGGGCTTTATATATAGGTGATGGCTAGTCCCACACTCCTTCATAAAGATGTCTATTTGCTGAACAATTAACAGTGAGCTGCAAACAATTGTATCCTGCTCACAAATGTAACTGCATATTTTAGCAATATGTGTTTGAGGTATGACTGGGAGTGGATGCCGAGACCACATAACACTGGTCTTGAAAGACCTACATTGGCTCCCAGTACATTTCCGAGCACAATTCAAAGTGTTGGTGCTGACCTTTAAAGCCCTAAACTGCCTCGGTCCAGTATATCTGAAGGAGCGTCTCCACCCCCACCGTTCTGCCCGGACACTTAGGTCCAGTGCCAAGGGGCTTCTGGTGGTTCCCTCGCTGTGAGAAGCGAAGCTACAGGGAACCAGGCAGAGGGCCTTCTCGGTAGTGGCACCTGCCCCATGGAACAACCCCCACCACCACCACCAGATGTCAAAGAGAAAGACAACTACCAGACTTTCCTGGTAGTCCTGTTTAGGGAAGCTTTTAATGTTTAATAGACTATTGTATTTTAATATTCTGTTGGAAGCCGCCCAGAGTGGCTGGGGAAATCCAGCCAGATGGGCGGGGTATAAATTATTATTATTATTATTATTCACAGTATGCCTGTTCAATACCCTACCTAAACACATGAAATGGCTCTTCCCTGCCAAAGCCCTAGTCATTTCCATTGGAGCTTTCACATTTGAGAGGTGTCAGATATGGAGATGACCCAGTGATTACAGAGGGTCAGTGGGGATTCCAGGCTCACTTGCAACACTGCAGAGCATTCTGGGTTGCACCTCTGCCATCAGCATTATGTGAACCAAAACTAATGCTGCAGAATGTTCAATAACATCGCAAAGCAACTTGAATTACGAGTTAGTTTCTTGGTGTGTCAAATGTCTGCGGTTTAGTCCTGGTCATACCTACGCCGGAATAAAGTATTCATACTAAGTAGCTACTGAGACATGCAGCAGAGTTGCTAGATGCAAACTTGAGCATAAGCAGTATATGAGGAAATGATATTCTACTTTGCTTTTCCAGACCCTATCTGTTTAAGGTCTATTTGTACTTCCAAAGCAGATTTTCTTGCACAAGAAAGAACATAATTGTGGAGCTCTGAGTTTATTTGATCTCAGGTAGCCCCTTTTCTAGTGTTTATTGTAATAGCGCTAATCATGATGAACTCACTTGGCATTAATGAGACTGTCATCTCTGCTTGTATAAGAACATTCTCTGTAGTTAATCATTAATTAACTGGGCTATTATATTAAAGTGTTGCCAGACATGGTATGTAGAAATGGTTTACGTTATAATCTCCTAGCGTTGAAACCATGTAAGATCTTTTCAGCATGATTTCAGCACCAGAAAATTATATATATATATTGCAACCTAGAAAGCAAAGGGCCCAGGACCAATTCACAACTGCGGCAAAACATCTCAGCCACTTAGCCCTTTCTAAGATACACAAATACTGTGTCATGTCGTTGGGAGTAGGTGGGATTGTATGTTTCGCTGGAATGTGAAAGAATATAAATAGGAAATTATGGAATAATTAATCTGAGAGGAAATTGCTTAACACTTGTCACCCCGACCTCAAACTAATAAACTCCTGGGAATTCGAGGTTGATTGAAAGCTCCCTTTAATCTATCCCAGGTTGGGTGAGAACTGGGACAATATCTCTTCTCCCTGCAAATACACATCTGATCTTGATATCCTTCAGAATTTAGCCAAAGCCACTTTGGGCTCTTAGTATTCTGCCTGTCCTCTTCCTGGTTCGACACGGAAAGAAAACAAAGTTTTCTGTCTGTAGTCTTGCATGATTTCCGAGGCTGAAAACCTAAGGCTGCAAGTAGATAAGATAGCAAGAGATCTACATAAGTTTAAAAGTGAATACAGGGGCCCTCAAATCAGATCCGAGCCACAGCCCTGGGAGAGTCGGATATTAATCTCTTTTTCCTGCTCCATTTCCCAGATCAAAATTTCTCCTGCCCAAGGGAAAAAGCAACAATTGCCCATAGGAGCCAGTATTTCTGATAACTTTTTTTCCTGGTTTGCCAGAGCAAATGAGCATTAAAAATAAAATGAAATAAAATAGAGGTAGTTAGAGAAGATTGCTTCAAGGTTAGATCTCTTTTGAAAATTTACAAACAGCCAGTCCACCAGGGTTGTTTGTTGAAAAGATGCACCTTTGGGGAGGTTGCGTGTGTTTTCAGAAGACGTCATTGGTTTGGGCTATTGCTCCATATAAAATCAATTGTGTCTCCTAGCACAGTGCAGACATGAAATGGGTAAAATCAGAAATGTAAAATAAAAAAGAAAATGCTAATGTGTTTGTCATTAAATCTTCTCGGAGCTATTATTCATCCTTGACTCTATCCTTTGTTATATTTTCGTTTTATGGATGTGAGCCAGAGAAAATAGTCTTGCTGGAAATATGGGAGGGAGAACCGACAGAGCCCAAATGCTCTTGGTCTATGATGGATGAGCTATAGCTAGATGGAAGCCTTCTCTTCTCTTATTGAACACAGTGTTGTTAATGATAATTTTATCAGAATTAGGCCCACAGTATGAAAGGCCCAAGTTCCTCTTGCAGACAATACTCCTGGGCTGGGGCGCTGACTTGGGCCCCGTATTGTGAGTGCCCAGCGGTGTGTGAGTGACATGACATCATGACATCAATTGTGCCATTACTTGTATGTGACATGTCATGACGCCATATTGTCACCTTTTACCTTGCCTCTGCTGGCTCTCTGGCACCGTGGCAGTGGCAACTGGGCAGGGACTCCTGCCTCTTCTGCAGGGCATCTGTTGGGGCCTACTGTGGCCCCAGATGTGCTTGGGTCCTCAGGGCCCCCCAGAGTTGGTACCTATGCTCCTGGGCATCCCAAGTGACTCCTTTGTACACGGCGAGGTTGAGGTTGTCTTCCTCTCCCGCAATGCAACCTCCCTCATCCATCCTCTGGATCAAGGTGTGATTCGCTGCTTCAAGGTTGCACACCTGAAACTCACCTTCTCCCGGCTTATCAACACGATGGATGCCGATCCAGTTCTTGGCCTCACGGCACGCTGGAAGTCTTTCAGCAATGCCCATTGCATCACCGACATCAAACAGGCACTGGGTGCAACCAATCATGGGTGAAACAGTGAATGTATGCTGGCAGAACGTTTGTAAGAAGGAATGTGTGCTTGATTTCATGGGATTTCTAAGCATTGTGCTGAGGTGGAGGACATTGTGCATTAATTTATTTATTTTACAATTTTCTGAGGGTTTTTTCCTTTTCTTTTAGGAAGTCAGATTAGCCTCAACCAGAGCCAGAGCCAGGGCCTTCTCAGTGATGGCTCTGACCTGGTGGAACGCTCTGCCTCATGAGACCAGGGCCCTGCAGATCTGATTTCTTTCCGCAGGGCCTGTAAGACAGAGTTGTTCCGCCTGGCCTTTGGCTTGGAATCAACTTGATCCCCTCCCCCTCTTTCCTTTTTCTTTCTGTGATGGAATTCCTATTTGGGGACTTCCCTGGCTTTTTTCTGGCCCATGTAGGACCAGTCTGGATAGTTGGCCTTAGTGAAGACTTGATGTTTTTATCCCCCAAAAAGTTTTTGATTTGAGTTCCTACTGAAATGAGGCTGCATTTCAATGTTTTAATGTCATATTTTAATCTTGTTTTTAAGTTGTATTTTAATCAATTGTTTTTATACCTGGTGTCAGCAGCCCTGAGCCGGGTCCTGGCTGGTGAGGACGGGGTATAAATAAAATAATAATAATAATAATAATAATAATAATAATAATAATAATTTTACAGTTTTCTTGGTGAGTGTGTTCCAGCTTTCTGCAATTTTGCTTATATGTGTGATGGCCAGGAACATCACCCCTACAGAAGTTGCAAGTTACCTGTGTACAGAGATCAACTGCAATGAAAGAGACCTGCTTTCCCCCCCTCCCTTAAGCCACGAATAACAGAATGTCGGCACATGGCTGCAGCACGAATTACTAAAACAGATACTAATCAGCCTCCAGAGTTTAGGTTTTGCTGGTAGACATTTCCTTTGACAAATGGAAAGGTCCAGAAGGAGTATTTCATCTTCACCTTGAACTCTTTATGTTTTACTTTCAACTCCTTCCCAATTAGTAATCAGTTAGAGTTGCAGAGTTCCAGATCAAGATAATTCACCTTGCATAAAATACATCAAGATTTCTTGCTTGCTTGCTTGCTCTCTCTCTTTTAAAAACATCAGTATGTTATAGATTCCCCTGGCCTCTGTGCACAATTTCTAATATTTCTCGTATGGGAAAGGGGCCTGTTTCACAGTCTGGAGTGAGGAAAACGAAGAGGTACTTCATTGTTATAGATGTTATAGGCGAAGGGGATCGAGATATGGATATGCTCGTACCCCTTCCAATCTGCGCCTCATCCTGAGGGACGAGGGTAGGGTGAGCAAGGATTACTCACCTCCGTCACTGGTGCTGTGCAATGCCAGGTCTATAGGCAACAAAACCGCCACCCTGGGAGATTTCTTTATCTCGCAGGGGGTCGACCTGGCTTGTGTGACGGAGACCTGGGTGCGCGAAGGGGCAACAGTTACCTTACGAGAGATGGTGCCCCAGGGTTTCTCCGTCCTCCACCAGTCGCGGACTGTGGGCCGGGGGGGAGGGGTGGCATTATTAATCCGGGAAGATTGTCCTTTCAGGGCTCTACCATCGCCATCGATCCCCGGCATTGAATGTGTTGGCCTAGTGTGGGGCTCTGAGGAGAGCTTGGCTGTCTGGCTGGTGTACCGGCCACCTAGTGCACCAGCAGCCAGCCTGTCAGGCCTATTGGAGGCAGTGGCCGGCTGGGCCTTGGAGTTCCCTAACCTATTGGTATTGTGGGACTTCAACATCCATGCTGATGCCACTCCCTCCTCACAGGCTCTGGACCTGGTGTCTTCCATGGCGACACTAGGGCTCTCCCAGTTTGTTTCGGGCCCCACACATCAAGGAGGCCACACGCTGGATTTGATCTTTGGCGTAGGTATAGATGTGATCATGTCTCCTTCGATGAAGGTGCCATGGTCTGATCACTACGCTCTGAAAGCCAGGATTGACTTTCCACCTCCACCCTGCTTAGGTGGCGAGCCGATTTGGGCTCGCCCGCAGAGGCTGATGGACCCTGATAGATTCCGCCAAGCCTTGCGGGACCTTGCTCCCCCTGGCGACTCATTGACTGAGCTTGTTGAGGGCTGGAATATCCAGCTCCTGGCAGCCATCGATGAGATCGCACCTAAGGGCCCTCTGCGACCGCGCAGAAACTGGGCTCCCTGGTTTACTGAGGAGCTCGGGAAAATGAAGCGGGACCTCAGACGGCTAGAGTGAGTATGGCGGGGTGCCCGTGACAGAGCCTCAAGAACATCTTATAGGGCTTTTATGAAAACCTATGAGATGGCGGTGAAGGCTGCTAAGAAGTCTTACTTCTCGGCCTCCATTGCATCCGCTAGCTCTCGCCCGGCGCAATTATTTAGTATAATCAGGTCTTTAACGTCCCTTGAGGGACAGCCAAATTTAAATAACAATTTGACACACAGCTGTGAGGGATTTGCGAGCTTTTTTGCGGAGAAGGTCTTGTTGCTCTGCCATGACCTCCCTGCCAATTTGGATACAATAAAGGAACTGGAGGCCCCTCGACTGTCCTCAGGTCCAGTATTGGACCACTTCAACCGGATATCCCCAGCCGATGTGGACAGACTCCTCCGAGCTGGAAAGCCCACCACCTGTCCTCTCGACCCGTGCCTGTCTTGGCTGATTAGAGCGTGTCCAGACGAGGTGCGGGCCCTCCTGGGGATATCATCAATTTGTCCCTTGGCACGGGGACATTCCCAGGGGAACTGAAGGAGGCAGTGGTGCGCCCGCTCTTATAGAAAACATCATTAGATCCTTTAGATCTATCCAATTACCGCCCGGTTTCGAATCTTCCGTTCCTGGGTAAGGTGATTGAGAGAGCGGTTGCTAAACAGCTTGGTGGGTTTCTGGATGAAACACCGGCTCTGGATCCATTCCAGTCCGGCTTCTGCGCTGGTCATGGGACCGAGACGGCTCTGGTTGCCCTAACAGATGATCTTCATAGACAGCTGGATCGAGGTGGGTCGGGGCTGCTGATTCTTCTAGATCTGTCAGCAGCTTTCGACATGGTCGATCACGAACTTCTGGACCACCGCCTTGCCGACGTGGGGATCCAGGGCACAGCCCTTCAATGGCTGCGCTCGTTTCTCTCTGGTCGGGGACAGAGGGTGGCGCTTGGGGGGGAGTTGTCATCGCGCCACTCCTTGGTGTGTGGAGTACCTCAGGGTGCGATACTCTCCCCGATGCTTTTCAACATCTTTATGCGCCCCCTCGCCCAGTTCGTCCGGAGTTTTGGGCTGGGTTGCCATCAGTATGCTGATGACACCCAACTCTATCTGTTGATGGATGGCCACCCTGACTCGGCCCCAGACACACTGACCAGATGTTTGGAAGCTGTGGCTGGATGGTTACGTGGGAGCCGATTGAAGCTAAATCCTTCGAAGACAGAGGTCCTGTGGCTGGGATGGGATGATATGGGATTGGGGGGGGGCAACTCCCATCTCTTGTGGGGGCGCAATTAGTGCTAGCACCGTCCGTTAAGAGTTTGGGTGTAATCTTTGACACCTCCCTTTCCATGGAGGCGCAGATTGCAGCTACAACAAAGGCGGCATTTTTCCATCTCCGCCAAGCTAAGCAGTTGGCTCCTTACCTCTCTCGCCCTGACCTAGCCACTGTGATCCACGCGACGGTCACCTCCAGACTGGATTATTGTAACTCGCTCTATGTGGGGCTGCCCTTGAGACTGACCCAGAAACTCCAGTGGGTGCAGAATGCTGCAGCGAGACTCCTTACGGGGTCTTCGCTGCGAGATCACATTCACCCGGTGCTATACCAGCTGCACTGGCTCCCGCTGGAGTACAGGATCAGGTTTAAGGTGCTGGTTTTAACCTTTAAAGCCCTATACGGCCTAGGACCCTTGTACCTACGGGACCGCCTCTCCTGGTATGCCCCACAGAGAAACTTACGGTCTTCAAATAAAAACATCTTGAAGGTCCCAGGCCACAGAGAAGTTAGGCTGGCCTCAACTAGAGCCAGGGCTTTTTCGGCCGTGGATCCGATCTGGTGGAACACTCTGTCACAAGAGACTTGACATCTTTCCGCAGGGCCTGCAAGACAGAGCTGTTCCACCAGGCCTTTGGCCAGGGCACAGCCTGACTCCCTCCCTCGGCAATCTTCGCGGAACTCTGGCCCAATGGTTGCCAGTGGCTTGAATTAATTAATTTTATAATGAATGATTTTAGAGTGTTGTTTGTGCTGTACTTTTGTACTGTTTTATTGTTGTTAGCCGCCCTGAGCCCGGCTTCGGCTGGGGAGGGCGGGATATAAATAAAATTTATTATTATTATTATTATTATTATTATTATTATTATTATTATTGCTTTTATGAAAGAGCGTGGAGCACTTGTGAGGTTCAGTTTCATGAATGTAGCTGAAACTTACCAGTAGTAATTGGGAGTGCAGTACATGATCAGGAATAATGAATAGCGAGGGTTGTTTTCTGCACCTTGCTTAGTGCAGAAAAACATATTATTTTGTCAAACAAGTATTTCCAAAATTATTCTGGTGTATGTAACAAATTAAAGAGCCTGGTGTTTTTTGCAGGTGTATTCTGCAACATGCTGTTGATACATGTTGCATTTATACTGGGCCGTCCACACATAATTCCACTTTGCTAGTTGTTCTGCAATGCTTCTTCAACCTTACCACGTTATTGCACTCTGGAGGGGCACTCTTGCATTGCAGGTGCTGACATTTAAAGCCCCAAACAGCCTTGGTCTGTATACCTGAAGGAGCATCTCCACCCCCATCGCTTAGCCCGGATACTGAGGTCCTCCTCTGAGGGTCTTCTGCTGGTTCCTTCACTGCTAGAAGCAAAGTTACAGGGAACCAGGCAGAAAGCCTTCTCAGTAGTGGCACCGACCCTGTGGATGTCAAGGAGATAAAGAACCACACAACTTTTAGAAGACATCTAAAGGCAGCCCTGTATCGGGAAGTTTTTAATGTTTGATGCTTTTTTATGTTTTAGATATTTTGTAAGCCTCCCA